CCATGGCCAAAGCCCATTTCCTACAAGAGAAGTCAGTTCGCTTCCCAACTGGCCGGGCCCGATCGGGCGATGCAAGGCCTGATCGGGCGAGGTTGTTCACGCTTCTTAATAGCTGATGATTAATGCTTTGCTTCATCATAGTGGATGGGCTTTGTTGTTAGGCCCACTTGATTATTGTGAGGCGGTGAACTTGTGGATATATAGGGGAATAGTAGTAGTACGTAGAGGGGGGCAATAGTTTTGAGTTTTCTTTTCCCTGTAGCTTTTTTTCATTAGTTTTGTTTTTGTTTTCTTCTAGGCAGCTTAATTATTTCGTTTGTTTTTCGTCAATTTCGTCTTCATGCAAGAATATTAGTTGACTTCTTTTAGGTTGATTACATTAGTGTTTTCTTTAAGTTCTTTTATCATTATTTTCTTTAATTTCTTGTTCTTGTTAATTCTTATGCTTAATTTAATTGCTTTGGTTAATTTAGATTTAATTATGCGTGAGTAGTTTTACTTCTAGGGTTGTGGGGATCCATGAATAATACGAAGGGGTAATTTATTATTGTTAATTATTTATGATTGATTAATTTCCTATTGATTGATTTAATACTATGCAATTAGATTTGCGCAGGTTTAATTGTATGAGTTTTGCAATATTGATTTGAGATTCGAGAGATGAGAATTGATATTTAGGCTTAGTTTCAATAGGCATGTTAATCTATTAATGGTTAGGTCGAGATTCGAGAGATGAGATTTAATACCAGTAGATTAATTATGTGATTATAATACGTAGCGACAACCCTTTATAATCTGGTTAATTTATGCATTGATAATTGATCGTATGTTTTACCCTGGAGTATTATTTATTGGTGAAACTATACCCTAGAGCTTTTTATTATTATTGATTATTCCTTTGTTTAATTTGCTTAGTTTAATTATTAGTATAATTCACACAATACAAATTTGTTACTCAATAATTTAGATTATAATTTTTGATTAGAGTAAAAGAAAATTGTTTCCTTGTGGATTCGACCCGACTTCCCTATTTACTTTAGTTAGAGGACTTAGGTAATTCTTTTGATTAGGTGATACGACTAGATCCTGTCACTACGCCAGCCCGTCCCCTGGCAGTGTGACACTAGTATCCGCCTGCACGGCATTGACCGTCGGGGAAAGGGGGAGACAGACTGGTCAGTGGAGCATAGGGTTTACGTTGACCTATGGCAGCGACGGTTGGATTTGTCGTTGAAGGTGATCCGATGCAAGGCGTTATGGATCCTCACGATCCGTACATGGTCTGGTACAGGTGGATTACACGGCGTTTCATCAACCCCAGCTACCCACCACCTTCCACACATTACAAGCCAGCATATGACGTCATTAACGGATATGTGAGTTTCTTTTATTCTACTTATTTTCATCAGTTTTTTAATTTCTATATCATACAACTGACTAATCGATGATTACTGCAGGCGGCGGATATGGTGGCGATGGTTGATACACTGTCAATCACCCTTGCAGACGGACCCACCAGAGCCCAGGTCGAGCGGGTGCGAGATATGGGCGTGGCTACCTTACACAGATATGGTCACGACTATCTCGTCCACCAGCGGGACGGCCATGATGGCCACTCCGTCCATTCACAATTCGAGCTCGGCCAGAGTAGCTGTGGAGGTGATCCTATGTCACCCAAAGACGCAGAGGATTACATCATCCACAGTTCTGCGCCCACCCCCACCCAGAAGGGCCCATCGTCCAGCCAGCAGACTCCCCCACCGCGCCGAGACCCATTCACCACCATTACTCATTACAGTCGGCGTAATGTCAGACGGAGGGCCGATAGACAGGATACCGAACAGTTACCCCGAATAAATGAGTCGAGATAGTATTAGCTGATTTATTTGTTGTAGCCGGATTTTCTAGAATGTTGTATATAACACCATTATTAATATAATAAATTTTTTTACATGAATCTGTGTGTGGTTTGAAGTTTAATTTCCTTATTTATCCAAATAGGACTTATGTCAGTCAAAATAGATCTTTCTAGGTCAATATATATCAAACACAAGATATTTGAGCTCCATAATGAGAAATGGGGTAGAAGCGATGGCTGGTCGTGGTTAATGTGGTGGTTCACGGTGGTTATAGTGTTGTTGGGGGTGGTTTGAAGTGGCTAAGGGTGGGCAAAAGCGGTGGTTGGTGGTGGTGGTGGTTAGTGGTGGTGGTGGTTAGTGGTAGTGGTTGGTGGTGGTCGATGGTGGGGAGGTTGTCAGGGTTCGTGAATGGCGGTGGGGATGGTGGTTGAGGTTGGGGTTGGTGGTGGGGATGGTGGAGGGTGGTGGCTGGATAAGTGGTGGAGGGTGGTGGCTGAATGATTGTTGGAGGCTGAAGATGTGAGGAGACTGCTGGTTGTTGTGTGTTGCAGCCAGCAGATAAAACGCTGTCTCGGACAGCGTTTTATATGCAAAAAAAATTACACATAAAACGCTGTCCTAAGCAGCGTATTATGTTCAACAAATAAACGTTGCCTCAGACAGCATTTTATGTGCGAAAAAAATTTCCACATAAAACGCTGTCTCGGGCAGCGTTTTATTTTAAAGAAACAAACGCTGCCTCAGCCAGCGTTTTATGTGTTTTTTTATTTATTTTTTATTTTTTAAAAATCACAAATTATGAAATTAAAAAAAAAGTCAACAGGTAAAAACGCTATCTTTTATACCTTATTTTTTTAAAAAAAAAAAGAAGCAAAAATCAGGGTATAAAACGCTATCCGAGACAACGTTTTATCCCTGAAGCTTAGTTTGTTAAATAGTTTTGCCATGCAACCATTTTGGTAAATACTTTGCAAATATGGCTTAGTTTGGGAAAACGTCCTCCACTACCTCTCTTATTTTTAGTAGTGGCATCACTCTCACCTCGTATCCCTGAGGTCTAGGGATCGTTCCTCATGAGATTCATTCAAGGGATTTCCCTTATCTTCCCCCCTCAAATGAGCCCCCTTCATCTAACCGAAAAAAAAAAAAAAAAAAAAAAAAAACTACCTCTCTTATTTTGTCCGTCTTTTTCCTTACTCTCAACATTTTCATTTCAAGTAAATTTCAAATTTATAAACTAAATATTTCATCAACATCTCCATTCCACCATTGTAATTTGTAACACTCAAAATTATCCTAGCAGTTTTAATTGAAATATCTTTTTAAATAAATAAGCTAACCAACTAAACTAAATTAATAAGCTAAAAAATCTACCTATCTTATTTTGTCCGCATTTTTTCTTACTCACAACATTTATATTTAAAGTAAATCTCAAATTTATAAGCTGAATATTTCTATCAACATCTCCCTTCCATCATTATAATTTGTAACACTTAACATCCTAGCAGCTTTTATTGAATTTTATTTATTTATTTATTTTAAATTAATAAGCTAAACTAAATTTTTTCGAAAGGTACACTACCTTGGTAGCTCATAACCCCAAGCAAGCAGCAGAAGACATGTCAAAGGCTTTACATGGTAACCTTGATGTCAAGGAGGAGATATCAGCAATTCTTGTGAATGGTAAAAAGAAACAATTTGGGTTATTCTCGAAGGAGTTTGTACGATTATATGGCTTGCGCTTGCTTGGGACAACTAGTACCTGGCTCCCACTAAATATTGCTTTCTCTAGCACCCAAAATATTCTGCAAAAAGACATTAATTTACGCCGAATGGATCCCTAGAGCAAGCGAGATGAGTGCTATCAGAGAGGTCTACAAGGTGCTCGAGCTCAAACCTTAATCGCCCTATGTGGTTTTGTCCCTGGATATTGGTTCACTGTCGCTCTGATAGATGTATTAGGGCGAAGAATCATCCAATTTGTAGGATTCCTAAAGATGACAACATTCATGTTCATTATAGCCTATGCGTATGAGGGATTGTTTTCCAATTCGTTTATTAGTCTTATATGGATTTACCTTCTTCGTTCTGCGCCAACTTTGGGCCTAATGCAACCACTTTTATGATCCCTGCTGAGATATTTCCGACTAGGTTGAGGTCAACTTGCCATGGTATATCGGCCGCTGCAGGTAGGGCTGGGAGTATAGTTGGAGCATTCGGTTTTTTATATGCTTCCCAAGAGAAGGACCCTGCAAGAAGGCCATCAAATTTTCCAAAAGGTATTGGCAAGAGGAATTCTCTCTTTGTTCTATGTGTGATCAACTTTGTTGGCATGCTATTCACCTTCTTAGTGCCAGAACCCAAGGGTAAATCATTGGAAGAGTCATCTAATGAGGTGTTTGGTGAAGATCAAGAGGAAGCTTTATTCAAGAGGTTTTCTCCCATTTGATTCAAGGTGGTGTTGTTGAGGCGGCCCCCATTGATCTTTATGATCAATTTATCAAATCAATCTTCGTGGCAAAGATGTAAATATTTGTAACAGTAAATTGCCACTTGTTAAGTTGCGTCATTGTGGGCAATTACTCAGCAATTGAGTCATCTAACAGCGTTATCTCCATGCAATACCGTCAAGTTGCAAGTATGGGAAATTTGGATTGTTGTGAGCCACATTTTATTTTCATCTTCTTGGTTGTGTAAAGTCAAAAATACATACTCCTTCATCCATTGTTTACGTTGTTCATCTTGTATGTGAGTAAATTCAAAAATCCATACTCTTTCATCCGTTGTTTACTTGTTTATGATAGTCATCTTTTACGGCAAGCGAAATCGCCTCGACTGTTGAGTGCCATTGTTTTCGGCATATGAGCAATTGGTTGGATTGTTGGGTAAGTGGAATAATATAATAAAATTATAATTAGCATAATTGCATTGTGGTTTTTGTTTTTCATCACATTTATGGATTATTATCTTATTTGATTACTACGGAGTATTGTAGTGTGTGGATGGTTGTAGTAGATATTGGTGTGAAGTATTCGAATGAATCAAATGTGATAATACTAGTTCGATTAGTGTGACATTGATAGGATTCGGTTTTGTTTCTGGTTGTCTATGTGTTAGAATTGTAAATCCTACAAAGTAGCCATGGAGAACTGCAATGATTCGCCCCCCGTAGTTTGTGGGTACAATGCTAGTGTTTTGCAAGATAAGGGGAGCGGTGTTAGGTGCAGAGAGGAGCCTTGTCTGGAAGATGATGCAAATCGGGTTAGGGATGTCGGAGATGACATTCTACCTTATGTAGAAGGGGATATCCCTCCATCTACGCTATTTGTATCACCAAGACCAAATGATGTAGCCCATAGGTCCCCCATCAAAACAGTGGATACGGTTGAAACCACTGTGGCCAGTAATCATATTAGTGTAGTCACATATGTCGAGCCTCCTGCTGTTGGAATGGTGTTTAAAAAATGGCAAGATATGGAAGCTTATTACAAAGAATATGCAGAACAAGTAGGATTTGGGGTTTGTAGACCGCAAGGCATTTACTCTAAGGGTCCGAATAGGGATCGTATAGGCACAACTTGGAGGTGTGAGTGTTGGGGGGGACCACACATGAGGGCTGAGAGGGAGGCAAAGAAGAGGGCAAAATCAATGGATGTGTCAGGGTCTGGTGGAGTTGTTGATGGAGTAGTATGTGAGGATGAACTTGCAGGTCGAAAAAGGAGGTCAAAAAAGTGTGGATGTCAAGCAAAGATCTATGGTAGTGTTGATAGGGATGGTGCGTGGACAATAAAGAAAGTCGAGTTGAAACACACCCACTTAACTTCACCAGGTAAGGCAAAGCTAGTTAAAGAGTACCGGATGAAGAAGTACACATCCAATGTTAGGAGGAAGCTGTTCAATTATTTCGAGGAGGGTGTTCCTGTGTCCCAAATTCATGGTTGTATGGTTACTGACAGTGGTGGACCAGAGAATATTTCATTTACCGTGAAAGACCTTCAACATGAGGTGTACAAGGAACGTAGGTTACAGATGGTGGGGGGTGATTCAACCGCGATGATGACTTATTTTGAAAACATGCAAGCCGGTAATAAGAATTTCTATCATTCACAGAGGTTAGATAGTGAAGGACGACTGAAAGATGTATTGTGGGTTGATGCAAGGAGTCGTGCTGCGTACGAAGAGTTTGGAGATGTCGTGTGCTTTGATGCTACGTATCTGACAAATGAGTATGATTTACCATTTGTGAATTTTGTTGGTGTTAACCACCACGGACAATCTATTTTGTTGGGTTGTGCTTTGGTTTCCCACGAGGATTGCGATACGTATCGTTGGATATTTAATAAGTGGTTAGAGTGCATGAATGATCGTGCACCGCTAGCAATACTAACAGATCAAGCGGCTGCAATGCGGAAGCCACTAGAGGAAATAATGCCATCAACAAGGCATCGTTGGTGCATTTGGCACATAATGAAAAAAATTCCCGAGAAGCTTGGTAAATGTAAAAGGTATGTGTGTTAGGGGTGTTTATACCTAAAATATGTTAGGAAAATCTGCTTTATATTTAATAAAAATCCTGCTGTTTATTTTTTTTAAAAAAAAACAACTGCTGTAATTTAAAAAAAAAAAAACCTGTTGTAATTAAAAAAAAACATGTTGTAATTTAAAAAAAAAACCTGCTGTAATTAAAAAAAAAATGCTATTGCTATTGCTAATTGCATCTTACAAGATCATCACTGGCTTCCTGGCTGGTTATACTTTTCAGTTTCATTAGGGACCATTTAGGCAGGTATTTGGGATGTATATTTGCAAATTTCACTGTCCTCAGTCTGGTCTTTGAAATTGCTTTCCCAGCCATGCCTATGTAACATTATTGGGTGGCCTTTCATCATGCTTTCTTTATGCCCTTGATTGTAGTTTTACTTTTGATGACTTGCACCCACTTGGGTTGCTTACTCCATTCAGAGTCCAATACTTAGGTTTCATTTGGGTACATGCTACAGACTGATTTTAGGCTTTTAAGATCAGAATATGTGCTTGTTTGGTTTGAGGCTTAGAGCATGATTACGTGTCATACTAGCACAAATCAACTTACATTTTTTAATCACCTTTTAAATCTCTATTCTGTGTGCCAAAGGATTGTTCAATGTACATGGTGTATGCTACTCATTTTTCCCCAGTCGTCAACTCATTACGGAGTACTTTTTTTCCCTGCTTTCCTTGTTGATTTTGTTTGCCAATTTGTGCTTTGACTAACTACTAGTCACCCTTACCGTTGTGTTTGTATTGGTTACATCCAGATCACGTGTATTGCGTAGCTAACTTATGGTGCTATTTTCATTTAGGTTTGTGTTTATTTTGCCTCTACATGTTTGTCGAGAGCTCACTGCCGCTTAGTAATTAAAAAAAAAAAACCTGTTGTAATTAAAAAAAAAGCCTGCTGCAATTTAAAAAAAAAAAAAAGTTGTTCTCATTTTTTTAGGTATATTCACTGACTGAAGTGTGTATATGATATGAATTTTAGGTATAAGGAGGTCAAGAGTGAGCTGAAGGGAACTGTATATGAAAGCTTTACTGTTGAAGAGTTTGAAAGCCGGTGGGTAGTGTTTGTCAAGGAGTATGCGATGCAGGATAATGATTGGTTGAACGGCCTTTTCAAGGAACGACATATGTGGGTGCCCGCTTTTATGAAGGAATATTTTTGGGCAGGAATGAAGACAACACAAAGAGTGGAGAGTATCAACAGCTTTTTCGATGGGTTTGTTAACCGTCACACAAAATTGTTCGAATTCCCGCAGAAGTACTCTAGAGCAATGACAAAGCAGGTTCAGGATGAGATCGACGCAGATGCAAAATGCTCAAAGTACCTCAGAAGACTAGTCACTGGTTTTAATGTGGAGAAGGTTTTTCAAAAGTTGTACACTGACACAAAGTTTCAAGAGGTACAAACAGAATGTTGTAGGATGATGTATTGCTATCCTCAGGATGAAATAAGAGTGAGAACGAAATTCAATACGTTCTTGAGGATCGTGTGTGGATAGTCCCTGAAGGATCCAGCAAGGAGGTATTAACTGAACGACGCCGATTCTATTGTGCAACATTCAACACGGACACTAAGGAGATATTATGTGATTGTCGTAAATTTGAAACGCATGGTATCATGTGTAAGCACATAATAAGGATCCTTGATCTTAATTTTGTGAAAGAAATTCCAAACAAGTACGTTGTTAACAGATGGCGTAAAGATATACTACAAAAGCACACTAGGGTCAAGGTGTCCTATCATGATCCAAGTAAGTCAATTGAAGTTATCCGCTACAATAGGCTTATGAACGCGTTTGAAGGGATATGTGATAAGGCGGATATGGTTAATGATGAGACGGTGGATATGGTGTTAGCAGCGCTTACTAGATTAAAGTCCGAAGTTACTAAGTGTACGAAGAGGAAGCTAGAGCAAACCGTAGCTATGAGCTACCTCGGAGAAGGTGCTGCTACGGTTATTCCAAGCTCAGAAGATAGAGCGACTACATCATCAGTTCAAAAGCCACACGCCGATCAAGAAATTGCAGATGAAGCTCTTGGTGAACCCCCTTCCGGTCCAGGTTTTGACAATATTGGCATAGTATTGAAAGACCCCGTTCCCAAGAAGAGAGGTCGTGGGAGGCCGGTCACGGGACGACATAAGACACTAGCTGAAATTGGTTACAAAAAACCTCCAAAAAAGAAGGTAAATCCATAAAAAAAATTGTTATTATACCTTTTTCCTGAAAGGTAAGTATATCAAAACAAGTTAGTGTTAACTATCGTTTAATCATGCATCCATTTTTTGACAGGCTAAGAAAGTGCCACCAAATTCGAAACTTCAAGCAGATGACCCTCCTACTATTGGCACAGGAAAAATTCACGTATGTAATGTAGTTTATTATTCGATTATGTGTGGGATTGTTGTTTTGTGTAAAATACGACTAAAGTCATAGATGTGTGAACAGGTTCGTGGAGAGCTGGCCGACGATGTACGACATAGTTACTTGGATTTCATTCCCGAAGATGATGATAGTTTCCCAATTAATTGTGATTCCGATGGATCTTCTAGTGTGTCAGCAACCTTCTAGAATGTTAGGGTTCCCTGTGTTGGTGTATTTGTAACAATTGTAGTTTAACTAGCTTTAATAAACGTTTGCCCATTATGTCTTTGGTTTTGTATCACTCTAAAGACATTATTAGTATTGAAATTAAGCTTTTGCTCCAGCCTACTTTGGTAATTAAAGAGCTTAATCTTATGGATAATCTACTTCGGTGAAAACATGGTCCAACATAAGCTAGGCCCCGATACAGAAAGTCTTATACAATACAAATATATAATACAGTTGGATGAAACGTATTATGGTAGGATTCATGATACATTTGTGTTAATATTGCAACAACTAATGTACATAGGGCCCAATACCTTCGAGCCCAATACCTTATTATGGTTGGATTCATGATACATATGTGTTAAAATTGCAACAACTAAATATACAAAGGGCCCAATACCTGCCACTATGACAATATATAAATGGATAGGATCAAACTGATTTTGTTGGATTCATGATACATTTGTGTGACAAGTGCAACAACTACTCTAGAATATTGGCCCATTACCTTCGGTTTTTTAGCTATACGATAGAATTGGAGCAAAACAGATTCTGATTTCATGAAAAAGTTGTGTTAAACTTGCAACAACATATGTTACTGGCACAACATACATTTTATAGGGAAATATTTATTAATGTTTTAATAGTGTGTTAATATTAATGATTTAATATTGTAAAAATTAATACTGGATTCCTTTTAAAAATTAAAGTTTTATTGTTTAGGGCTTAGGGTTTACGGTGTTGGGGTTAGGTTTCAGTGTTTATGGTTTAGGTTTCAATGTTCAGTGTTTAGGGTTTAGGGTCTAGGGTTTAGGGTTTATACTCGTAACACCAATATATATTAATGTGTTAATATCGAAAAAACAAATCTTGGAATCCTTAAAAGAAATTAATTTGCAACACAAATTTGTGGTATTATTCCAACACATAATTGTGAATCGATTACGGTTTAGGGTTTAGAAAGTAGGGTTTAATATAAATTATCTTAATATTAACACAAAATAATAAAATGGTCTTTGTGATTACCCACTCATACATAATTACATTTCATAATATTTCATGTTAACACAAAAATGTCTACATTGTCATCAAGATAGAAAGAACTTGTTTCTCCCCGAGACCCCAAGATTTACGGGAAAATACAAGCCAAAATTATCATAATGTAACGTTGAACCCAACCATTAATCAAAGTAGCACTTGTTAAACTTACAATGTACTTAAGTCATAACAAAGCCTACATTACAAAATAACTACCCAGTTTTGTTTTTTAAAAAAAGGCTACACTGTTATTCCTTCACAATAAGCTGCATTCTTGGCATAATCCACAAACTGTACTTTGTATACCTGTGTGAAGCAAATATACAAAAAACAACAGTGACGTAGTTAAGGACAAATCTCTGCAAACACCCTACTAAGCTGCAATTATGTAATCACGTTAGGTTTTAGGGCACTCAAGCCATCAAAGGGTTTTACGTCATTAATGAATACAACACTAACCCACAAGGTTACCTCAACAACATCAGCGTTAAGCATAATGTTGGTTAGTGAAATTCTATGGAGTCCCTTCATCAGGTGGATTTTAATAAAGTACTCAACACATTACAATAGGGGTCTCAATTCAAATCAGGAAACCAGATAATATCCGAAGGACTACTATAACACTAATGGAACACAGTAAGGGACAGAGAAGCCAATGATAAGCAACAACACAGCATCCTCATCATTCATCAACTAAAATTCCGTTGGCCAAATTAAAATGTCTAAATTATTCATATAAATGATCCATCCATTGAGTAAGGGAGTCACTACCAATTTGTCAACAACAATCAGTATGGTAGGATATAAAATCCAACAGACCACCATATTCCAACAAACATTCAGATTAGAAAACACACCACAACATACTTGTAGCCATAACAGTCAAAAACAACAATATTTTTCGACGTCTCACAACACCATAGCACAACCACGGGCCATGAATACGAAAATCAAATGAGTTTTTTCACTACAAGCCAACAAGTGCACAAACCACAATCCTTCCCAACATATACAAAAATCCGGAACGAGCCAATACAATTTAAAACAACCCAACATATCACAGTACTGAACTCAACATACCCAACATTTAAGACAACAACCCATCAGATCACTAACAATAGATATCACCATATACAAATCAGATGAACTAAAGATAAACCCAAATACAATCATACAGAATGGATTTAAAAAAAAATTGCAAAAATTAGGGTTAGGAATCGTTACGGTTCTGCCGTCAATTGGAGGGTAGAACCCTACGGTTCTTCCGCCTCACATAGTACTGCAACGGAGGTCCCTGCTCCTTTTTCGCTTCCACTGGAGGTCCCTTCGTACTAGGGGCGGTTATGGGGGTTGACAACTCCGTCTTAGATCCCGTTTTTATGGGGGGAACGGAACTACCCTCATCACCATCAGCCTTATTCAAACGGCCCCCCCTCTCCTTGAACCTTTCAAGCACGTCTCCTAGAGCCTCATATATGGTGTCCGAACAGGTTTGGCCAGCATCGTAAAATTGTTGAGGAGAGGGCGATCCGGTTCCGACGGACACAATAAGGGACTTAATCAAATTCTGCTCCCGGGGATCGTTGGTGGCAAGGTAAGCATCGACAAGTGGATCAAGTAAACCCATTTTGTAGGTGGGGATTGCTAAGCTCAGATCTAGGGAACAAGGTTGGAGAACAATTTCGAAGAAGAGGAGAGAGGACGGGGAGTGTGAGCGACGAGGGGTGAGAGGGAAACGAAAGGGGAATGTTGGAATGTGGGAACAGGGGATAGAGGCAAACGTACGGATTTTTTATACATAATTTCAGGTGTTTTTTATTATGTATGCTAATTACCGAATCCTAATTATTATTATTATAATCATTATTAGACTTTATCATTAAAGAAATCAATTAAAGCTTGTAAAAAAAATTTTTTGAATTGGTGGGGGGCTATATTTATAGTATAAAATATATCAAGATGATACCCTTCGATATGGGAAAAATAAATAAAAGAGGATAGAAGAGAGTAAATAAATAGTGGGAAATGAGGCGGATGAAAGAGAGTATGTGGTGTCAAAATAGCGTAAGGAGAGGGAATGTTTAACAAGACAAAACCATCCTCACCAATATTTATGCTCAAGGAGTTATCCTCCTCCTTACTTCATCCATGTGGGCCCTGGGATGGATGCATATTCCCTAAATCACTAAGTGTATAATAGGTAATTAAGTACCTAACTACTACAATGTTTGCCTTTACATATGCGTAGGACATATCAACAAATCCGCTTTCATGGGCATTTTGGGTGGGCAAAAAATGCTCATGTGTTTTGTAATGATGATATTAACAAATGCAGAGCAGTTCTACAAATGCATAATTAGTAAGATACTAAGAGACATAAATTAGTGACATCATACTAAAAGACACACCACCATTGACATGGTGTGTAATTAATTTTGTTATATTTTCTTATAAAATTCAATTTAATGGAAACAAATCTTATACAAAAATTATTTCATAATCATATACAATATAATTACTTGGTTTAAATAAAAGATTTTCCACATGTTTAACACAAATGTATATATAGCTATTAAAAAATTATTAACATTTTATATCTAAGATATCTTTTGTACTCAGTTATTATAATCTAAATTTTATATCTTTTGTAATTATCTAACATATGTACAATGTTTATAAAAAAATTAATTAAAGCCGTAGTTTATTAATGAGTAAGGAAAATTACCAAGCAGGAGCTAACATAATTCGATATAAAATAATAAAATAGACATGCACCTTGTTAATTTTTGTCTATTGTCACGAATACGATAAATACTCTATATTTTGAACTCTAACAATAAAAACGGGAATTCCTCATACTTAAAAACTTACGTAATTTACACAAATTTATACACAGTACTGCTTCTCATTTATTTGGAATAATATTGGTAAAATATAACTGACATTAATAAATAAATAAGAGGTGGGTAAGAGTGTCAAAGTAATGGTTGGATATTGAAAAAGCAAGAGAGAGAAGGGTGGTCTTAAGCAAGCATTTTTTTTTTTTACTCACCATAGGAAGTGGTCTTTAGCCACTGTCTAAGTAGTAAGTTGTACGTAACTGTCTAGTTTACCCCTGCGATGAACAAATAATCTTTATCCGTGGGATTAATTTTAATTACTCGGTTGTTTATTTTAAACTGTCTTATTCCAAATTTAGAGTGATTTCAACAACACAATTGAACTAATATATAGAGAAGGTCGATACCACTAAACACACAAAACGTACATATTCCATTAACCAGGTAACATACAGCAAGATCCAGTCACATACGACATTTAAAAAAAAAAAAAGGCTAAACGTTACATAGGATGCCCAACGGAAAACGTGAAATGTTTCAACACAAACACAATGTAAACAACCACTAGTACTTAATGTTCTTAATCTATCACGACTTAATAACTTGAACAGCTTCAGTCTAAGCTGCTACCACTACCAACCATCTTGTTCTTCCTCCCCCTTCACATAACTTGGTTCATCAACCTCGTCCTACACGGTTAACATACCATATTAACGTTAAATTAAAATATGTTGCAACAATAACTGAACATTTAAAAAAAATAAAACCAAAAAACCTTATATATAAATACCTTGAATCCTCCCAATACGACCTAAAACACGAAGCTCATGACTTGGGTTCTCTGAAACTAGCACTTCTGCTTGAACCCTAGAAGCATCCCACATTATGATAGTCCCCCCACCGAGAGATTTTGCCTCCTCCAGCTTCCACTTCATATTAGTTTGGAGATGCTTCATCATCTGCTCACATGTAATCTTCCCAACCCGAGCTTCAATGATAATAACAACCATTGGTTTGTGCGTTTTAACGGCCCAGTTGAAGTCGTCCATAAACGATGGTCGTGTAATGCGTCTAGCATTCCACAGAATTATGCTTGTTCCC